CTCGCACTGTCGGACACGCTTGGGAATTGCCGTTGTTTGTCGGTGTTATTATCGATGTATCCGTGACTGGTTAAAAACATGACAGGAATACTAGGACTGCTTTCAGCGCCTTTCTTTAGCATTGAACTGTCTATAGCTTGCAATTCAGTCACACACAACAATTGACAATTGTTCCATTTATAAATATGGTATCCGCAATGAAAAGATTCTAAGAATTTTCTTTTAACAGACGTATGCTTTTTTTTGTCATTAACGATTACGTTGTAAATCTGTCTGTTTATTGGTGATGTTGGAGTTGTGGCATGCAAATAGTGTTAGATTTGTCCAAAGACCTTAGAAAAGGTCTATGATTTATCTGACAAAAAAAAATGAATAAAGTTGAAAGTGTACTAGTGTATTCATTATGCATGTGTGTAGTATTTGAAGTCCGTTTAGTAGTAAATACTCGTGTTTGAATGGAATGGAACTCCCCTCCCCCATACTCTGATATCAGATGGACAGAAATTATGTAGGAGACTAATAATTCTTGGCAAACTACACCTGAGCATTGACCTCAAACAAAACATTAGCAATTGAATGGAAATTGAGAGTATGATCCTGGTTGGGGCCAGAAAAGGGATTCCTGCTGGTTTTAAAAAAGAAGGGCCCACTTAGGGGTGTTTATGTGAAAACGCATGTGGAATGTTGGATTGAATTTGTGTTGATGCAATATGGTTGAATTCTCTCTGCAAAGTGTAAGTTTCAAGCCTTTCTGGGGAGTTTTTCCTCTATTCTTTTATGCTAAGATAGGATATCAATGCATTTAGAATTGCCGTTGTATATTATCAGTGTGGAATCAAGCCTGAAAATGATTTTTTACTCTGCATTGCATGTTGCCGCACACTGGAATGCACTCAAATGAAATTTGCATTGCAAATAGCTGTAGGGATTTCCATTTTGAAGCCTTATTCCCTCTTTTTTTTTGAGTCATTTTTTCATGACTTTCATTGAGTGTATTTCATGATGGATTGTATCGCTGTCCTGCCAGTGTATATCATTAGTGGGGGGTTAATCTGTTATCAAAAACATAATGACCTTACTCGTGTATAAATGCTTTCTCTACCATACTGCTGTCATTTCTCACCCCAATGCTTGCATCAGTGAAACCACACTTACATGTGTTCGACAGAAATATGACATTATATTTGTCAGTACTTTATTAATAATATATTGCCTCCATATTGTTGCACCATTTTCTTTCTTGACCTAATTATTGTTAAATTAGGGCAGCATGTCATGGTTCCCAGACATTTCCATCAATATTGTGTTCCTAGAGTTTCAAATTTTTAGCACTGGCCAATTCATAGATGGAATTTATTTTGTTATATGCTGGGTATTGAGTTTAATAGATGGTTTGTCCAGCTGTGGCTTTGGACTGATTAATGAGGTGTTTCATATTCTGTAATATTTGTCCATTGGAATCAAATCTTGCAGAACTTAATTTTGACCTCAGATGAATTGTAAATTAAAATGACAAAAATATAAGTTTACTGCAACAAGCAAAATCAGTATCGGCTTATGCAAGGGTTGTTTTTTTCTTTCCTGGCCACCATCTGTTTCTATAAATGTCCTTACTTGCATATCAATGTTTTTTCATCCTTGCTGCCTTAATTTCTCTATGAAAATTATGTAATGTAAAGTGATTCCTAGTGAGAGTTAATAATTACTGAATGCATGGATCTGTTGGTTTTCAATTTTAGAAAAAATAAGTTAGAAACTGTGATTAAAGTGGTTTATTTTTCAAATCTTTCTTGCATTTCTTAACCTTTGTCTGCCTACTTCGTTGAGGTGTGGTTATGTCTGCTAATAAAGCCTGTAGCAATAAATGTCAACAGTGTCACTATTTGCTGTTTTAAAACTGTTTTTCGAGGCAGCTTTTGGCTCTAATTTGTTTCAATCGATCAAATCAGGTTTAATAAGGAAAACTGTCTGAATTTGGAAATATGATTCTTTACTGCCACAACTGCTCTGTGCTTGATTACCGATAGTTTAGTGAATTAAACAATATTTAATTAATACCTAAACTGTCTTTATCGTATATCAAGTCAACAATTCCTTTGTGATCTATCTACTGATTGCTTATCTGTTCAGGTGGCTGCTCATTTATTTTTGCGCAATATGTTTGGCAAAAAAAACCAATGCAAAGTTTTTTTTGACAATTTAAATCTAACTTGTGTTTAAACAGAGAAACAATTCCTGGGGAACAAGATGTCTGCTACACAAAAACAGGTTTCTTTTAAGTGAGTTATGACCTTGAAATGGAAGGTCAAATGTCTGAGGCACACCCCTAGAAAAAATATTCTATTTTATTTATATAGTTATATGGAGTCTGAGTTATTTAATCCTAGTGCAAATAAAATTATATTAAACATAATGTATTGATATCATATTTAGCATTGAGAAATGAAAAATATGCCAGAGCTGCTAAAAAAGTTGTATCAATTGTAACATGCTCTATAACTGTACAACTGTTAAGCACTTTTATTTCTTCAGAGAAATTTTTCGCAAATGGAAATGTATTGTAGAGGAAGTTTTTAGTTTGTATTGTCAGGTGAAATAAAATATTTAATGTCTCCATATTTAGAGAGAAAACAGGCAGGGAAAATAAGTTATTTACGTAGAGGAGCAATAGGCCACTTACATGCCCCCCCCTAAAGGTCATACATCCTGGTACTTTTGTTGGTATGACATCATCACTAATAGAAAATTGGGGAATTTTAATGTTTTTTTCCCTTCAAATAGCTAGAGCAAATAGTTCAGGACATATCAATTTGATTTTCATCCCAATGAGAAAGTACCAGGATGTGTGACCTTTATGGGGTCATGATAATGACCTATTAATGTTGTCATTTTTTTTTTGGTTCAAGTAATGTCATTTTGCATTTTTCAGTACAATCATGTATTGTCTTTTTAAAAAAAATGGATGTTGTGATTATTACAGTACAGTAGTCCTATTAATTACTTAAACCAATGTATTGTCAAGCGATTTAATTATGTAAATGTTGATATAGCTGAGGAACTTATCACAGAATTTTAGTTTGAAACCCAACGTGTAGATACAAAACTGCAGACATGTAAATGTTGATAGCAATTATTTTAGTTAAGAATACACATTTTTAGCTTCACTGTCGACTTTGTCGAGCGGAGCTTATCATATGAGTGATTGTCCGGCGTCGTTAGGTTTGTTCATTTCATGTTGATATCTTCAATTCTCTAATTTTGGTGAATATTTTTGTAATTATTGGTAAAAGTGATATTTTCGACTTCTTGTTAAAAACCAAAAATTCAATTGCTTTGATATTACATATATAGATACTACATGTAGACCTTTCTCAGATTTGTTCATTTTGTGATGATATCCTCAATTCTCTAATTTTGGTGAATATTTTTGTTATTTTTGTTAGAAAGTGATATTTTCGACTTCTTCTTAAAAACTGCAAGTCCGATTGTTTTGATACTATACATATTGTTCATTTTCTAATGATGTCTTCTGTTCTTTAATTGAAATGTGCATTGCTAACAGCGGAGCTATCTCAGCCGATAGGCTGCTTGTCTAATTATATCTTCTGTTCTTTAATTGAAATGTGCATTGCTAACAGCAGAGCTATCTCAGCTGATAGGCTGCTTGTTAACATGTACACCAAGAAAATTGCACTAATGACTTTTTTCAAATACATATATATACACATATGACTGCAAGTCAGTTGGTTCATCTAATTCCTGCTTGTGTGATTTCTACAGCAGGGTTCTCCACGAGGGGTTTTTACAGGGCGCCGCGCCCTGTTATCTGAAATTGGCGCCCTGTTTAAATTGTCAGCGCCCTGTTATATTTCCTGTGCGCCCTGCATGGTCCCATACAAAGAATTGTTTACAAAACAGGCCAACACTCATTGTCTTCCGAAGATGATTCTTCGTGCTCAGGGTAACTGGTTCATTGTTTTAAGGTGCAACTGTGAAAATTCCGGTTTGTTATCGTAGCAGGTCACCGTGAGG